AAGAGTCAGACACTTAATTGACTGAGCCACCCAGATGCCCCTGCATTTTAAGCTGGGTCTCTGACCAGGGGATAAAATGTTTGTCTCTTGAGGTCAGCCCAACTCCCATTCCCACTTGCTACCTCCCAGCCAGGTAATTAGTTCTGGACGATGAAATGCAAGCAGAAGTCTGCTATGTGTGTGAGGTGGGGGTGGGGGGTGAGAGAGAGAGAGAGATGGAGCTATCAAGCAATCAGATTCCTGCTCCAGCATTTTAACTTCCACAAAACAGAGCCCATAGCAACAATTTTCTGGCCTTATTTTTCCCCCAACTGGTGAATGTTCCTGAGGGCAGAGAGAAATCTAACAGTGGGGTTTCTGCTTGTGTCAGGCTCTGGAAAGCAGAGCAAGGTAAGGGCTGAAGGAATATAGTGAGGTTTTTTCCCGGGGCCACCCTGGAGGGCATGTGAAGGTCATTTTAGATTATTTGGGGGGACATATTATGCGCCTTCACTGGACTTTGTCCATCATTTTTCCCTCACGGTCCACCTAAACCCCCAAGCTGGAAGACAATTTCCCTTTGCAGCCTCTTCAGAGTCTCAGAAGAGCTGTTCTCAGAGTCAGTGGAAGTCTGGGATTCCTCACAATTCTCGCTGGGAGGGCCAGAGAGACGGGCATTCCAGAGCTCACCATTCTGTTGAACCCTCACCTTTGCTTATTCTGACTGGCTTCAATTAATGATTTAGACTTGTGTCATCAGCCAAAGCAAGGGGAGAGAGGAGAAAGAACTCAAGGGGTGGGGACAGCCTAAATGCTTTTCCTTGTTCAACAAAAATTCATAAAGCACAAGTTTTGGCCTGTATTTCCCTTAATGTATTTTTTTCACCATAGGCAAAGGACATTATTTGGTTGATGAATTTTTTACTTTTAAGAAGAAAAAAAAAAGAATTTAAAAGGGGTCTTTTAAAGAAAGTTCTTAGAATGGCAAGTTTCAGATTAGTTAGAAACTAACCCTTCACCGTTCTGGGATCTGCACATCTTTGAGCCCAGGTTGTAGTTCCAGTTCCTCCCCCGAGACCTGGAACCACAACAACCCTTATCAGCATCTGCATCCTCCGAAGCAAATGGCCTGATCCCCCTGCCTTGTCCAGTGAGCAGCTGCTTCGTGTGCACACGCCTGGCTTCCCTAAATATATTGCAAGCTCCGTGAGGACAGAGACAGCATCATGTATATCTTTATAACTCCACAGACAGCACCTAGCACTCAGTGAGTGGGCTGACTAATAAAAACCCAATTCAAAATAAAAAGTGTGCATGGTACTACGCCTCGTGGAATCATCATGGCGCAGGTAGCCCTCATCCAGCAGGGGCAGGGTGGGGAGGGGGCCCAGCCTGGAGTCCAGGAGGCAAAAATTCCAGACTGACACTGTGACTACTGCAGCTAGGAAGTCCCTCCCAGTGCTCAGGGTCTCTGTTCTCTCTAGAAAATGAGGCAGCTCTTCATCAATGCCTTCCTTCTCCCTCAAGCATCAGAAGGAAATGAGATGTGGGATGCACATTTTATTTGTGAGACATCTACCTCCAAAAATTAAGTCATTTCCATAATGGCTTTCCAAATATCAGTATAGCTCAAAGGAGAGTGACCGTATATTAAAAATAAAAAACTAGGACAGGGGATGTGGCAAAATATTTGTTTTCTATTTTATCCACTTGTCTAGATGAAATTTCTTACAAAGATGCAGTGATGAAATTAAACTTAGCTATTCATTTAAAATTGACACTGCCCCAGAAAATCTGGCATGTTCCGTCATGGTGTAAAAACCATAAATAACACCTTTATGATTTAAGCAGTAAGATTTCCACATCCAAGAGAAAGTGGGCTTCAGCTTTGTTCCCTCACGCTATCCCTCTGTCCTCTGTGGGGAAAAAAAAATACGAGAAATAAACTAAATTATAAGAGTTCTCTTGAGCATCTGTCAAAAGTTCAGTTGTCCTTAAAGGAAAAGGAAAACATTTCAAGTGATTTTCTAAAATGCTTTGTCTAAAACAGCTTGTCTTTACATGTACTATTTGCCTTTTGAAGATAAGAGAGAGAGGGAGCTGCAAACAGTTGTTTATGTCACTGCCTTTTAAGCTGCCTGGTCATAAAATATTCTCTTTGAGAGAAGGATGATCCCTCTGTGTCCCATAGATCAGCTGTTTAATTCTGAGAGTTAGAGAATGCGTATTAAATATACAGATTCCACTGGTACTTGCATTTGTATTAAATATCAACTTCAGACAATTTAAATGCACTGGGTTATGAAATGTACCGAATTCCAGTCTGTAGCCAGGACCCTGGCAGAGCAGTCCATTTGGACATAACAGTTTCAGTGCCTGAGCAGTCTATGAGGTTTTAGGGGGGTTCATGTTCCACTTTGAGTCATTAAGGCAAGAATGGGTTTCGTTATTAAAACACAAATGAAAGAGCGGCCACTGGAACCACCATCTTTCTTGCGGATAACCACTTGCTACAACAAATCACCCTGACCCTCCGTGGGAGGCTGGAGAAGCCCTGTGTTACACTTCTGTTTATACCATTTTCTCAGTTATCATTTATTTACGCCAAATTCTGTTCCTAAAAGGGAGAAGAGGAGAATAAATCTAGGCAATGCCAAGAAAGAAGGAAATGTGTGAAAACATGAGGAAAAAAAAAAAGAGGGTGACTTTCAACACTACATCTTTGCTAATTGAGTTGAGCCACACAGTACCATTTCAGTGAAAACATGATATTAGCAGGATTTCTTCAAGCCAGCATTGGATGAAGGAAAGGTTTTTCAGAAAACTTCTCCCAGCACAGCTCCCTAAGTAGAGAAACTTGGAGGAGCGTACTCACAGCTTTCTCTTCCAGCTGATGGCTGTTGTGAAACTTCATGTAATCTAATTCCTTCTCCCTCCACCCACCCACTCCACCCCCCAAATCAAACCTGTGGAGCCAGTGACATTTCCACTAAGTACGAGAGAGGACTGTGGTTGCCAGGAAGGTGTCAGTCACCATGAACCATTTTTAATGATTTCATTAATTACTAATGAGTCTTCAGAAAGTTGGTATTAAAAGAGACAGGGCTTCATGAGGTTTGAAGACAGTAAGGAATATTTTATTATTTAAAATACCCTACTAGGGCACGTGGGTGGCTCAGTCGTTAAATGTCTACCTTCAGCTCAGGTCATGATCCCAGGGTCCTGGGATCGAGCCCCAGGTCAGGGCTCCCTGCTCCACAGGGAGCCTGCTTCTCCCTCTCCCACTCCCCCGGCCTCTGTTCCCTCTCCCGCTATGTCTCTATCTGTCAGATAAATAGATAAAATCTTTTAAAAAATAAAAAAATAAAATGCCCTGCTAAATAAAAGCAGGTGATTCTGGTGGTTTGAGTCATGATTGTATTTATTAGTGAGCCAGAGTTGTAAATAACCTGAAGGAAAGAGAAAGACAGAGACGGACAGAGATTTGTAAGATGAAATTGCCCACCTGAATTCTGTTTTGCTTCAGTTAAATTCTTCATAAGAAATATGGAGCTAAAAGCTGTCATTAAATATTGTCCAGCAGTGCACCAATTGACAGAATTTGGAGAACTGAATTAAGAAGATCAGCATGTCTTCCATGAGGCTGGCTGATCACATGTGGCATGAAGCCCCCTTCCAGAATACAGGTCCGCACACGTGAATACAACTGTTGGACGCCCTGCCTGCCAGAACCCATGTCCTAACATAGAAGTCTTCTTGAAAGGACCCGCTGGACATGTTCACAATACCTGCCACACATCATTTTCTCTTTTATAAATCAGAATAAGAATAATTATTTCTAAGGCTGTTGGCAGAATGATGGCAAACCAACCTACATAGGATTACAGAAATGTCCTGCCACTTGATATTAAGCAGTGATGTCTTGGCATGGGCCACTATGAATGTGATGCATAACCACTTCGCTCCACTAGTCCAGGATGTCAGATCAGCTCTTGGAGTGGGACCAGAAGATGCTCAGAGGGGCAGAAAATATGCCCCAGGCACAGGGCACAGCTTTGGGCAATGACGTTTCACTTCCTCTTGCCTAAGGAAATTCTCAAACTGCCCCGTCAATGTACAGCATGTAGAAGAGAAGACTCTGGGTATGAAGGTGTCATCCAGGTAATCTGCCACAAGGCAAAAAAATTTTTAAGTATGCATATTTTATTATTAAAGTCCTGCCAATTTTGTGTTCTACTCCAAAATATATCCATGTTTGTTTTAGTACATGAGTTAAAGAATGATTTGCCCCAAGGGCGCCTAGGTGGCTCAGTCGGTTAAGCGTCTGCCTTCGGCTCAGGTCATGATCCCAGGGTCCTGGGATCAAGTCCTGTTCAGCATGGAGTCTGCTTCTCCCTCTCCCTCTACCCCTTCCCCTGCTCATGCTCTCTTGCGCTCTCTCTCTCTCTCTCAAATAAATACATAAAATCTTTAAAAAAAATGATTTGCCCCAAGTATTTGTGTAACACTGAGTTTCCAGGAAGATGCTTCCCACATATGAGTTACCTAGAGTTTGAGAAACATCGACCTAAAGTTCCTGGCCTCCCCTCTGGCTTCTGAAGTTAGGTGACACCTGGCTCCATCCTACCGGTCTAAGCTCTTCCACCCTCATCCTCACGTACCCCAATCCCTGTGAACATGCTCCTTCTGGCCTCCTGAGCTTCTCCTGGCTG